CCTGCATTCAACTTTCCCATCATGTGGCACTCAGTGGTTTCAGTGTCAGAGGATGTTCCCAGATGTTGCTTCAAAATTTGCTATCGATGAGTTGATGCAGAGAAAAATACATAGATGCTTTGAATTACATATAAAAAATTCAGCAGCCAGTCTGCCCTGGAGGAAAATTCCTTCCCGACCCCAAATATGATGATCAGCTAAACTGAGTATGTGGGCAAGACTCACCAGCCAGACACCCAGGAAAGAATTCTCTGTAGTAACTCAGATCCCACCCCATCTAACATCCCATCACAAGCCATTGGGCATATTTACCGCTAATAGTCAAAGACCAATCTCATTATACCATCCCGTCCATAAGCTTATCCAGCTTAGTCTTGAAGCCAGATATGTCTTTTTCCCCCACTGCTCTCCTTGGAAGGCTGTTCCAGAACTTCACTCCTCTGATGGTTAGAAACCTTCATCTAATTTCAAGTCTAAACTTCCTGATGGCCAGTTTATATCCATTTGTTCTTGTGTTCACATTGGTACTGAGCTTAAATAATTCCTCTCCCTCTCTAGTATTTATTCCTCTGATATATCTGTACAGAGCAATCATATCTCCCCTCAGCCTTCTTTGGGTTAGGCTAAACAAGCCAAGCTCTTTGAGTCTCCTTTCATAAGACAGGTTTTCCATTCCTCGGATCATCCTAGTAGCCCTTCTCTGTACCTGTTCCAGTTTGAATTCATCCTTCTTAAACATGGGAGACCAGAACTGTGCACAGTATTCCAGATGAGGTCTCACCAGTGCCTTGTATAACAGTACTAACACCTCCTTATCTCTCCTGGAAATACCTCGCCTGATGCATCCCAAGACTGCATTAGCTTTTTTCATGGCCATATCACATTGGCGGCTCATAGTCATCCTGTGATCAACCAATACTCTGAGGTCCTTCTCCTCTGTTACTTCCAACTGATGCATCCCCAGCTTATAACAATAATTCTTGTTACTAATCCCTAAATGCATGACCTTGCACTTTTCACTATTAAATTTCATCCTATTACTATTACTCCAGTTTATGAGGTCATCCAGATCTTCCTGTATGATATCCCGGTACTTCTCTGTATTGGCAATACCTCCCAGGTTTGTGTCATCCGCAAACTTTATTAGCACATTCCCACTTTTTGTGCCAAGGTCAGTAATAAACAGATTGGTCCCAAAACCGATCCCTGAGGAACTTCACTAGTAACCTCCCTCCAGCCTGACAATTCACCTTTCAGTACAACTCATTGTAATCTCCCCTTTAACCAGTTCCTTATCCACCTTTCAATTTTCATATTGATCCCCATCTTTTCCAATTTAGCTAATAATTCCCCATGTGGAACCATATCAAATGCCTTACTTAAATCAAGGTAAATTAGATCCACTGCATTTCCTTTGTCTAAAAAATCTCTTACCTTCTCAAAGAAGATCAGGTTGGTTTGCCATGATCTACCTTTTGTAAAACCATGTTGCAATTTGTCCCAATTACCATTGACCTCAATGTCCTTAACTACTTTCTCCTTCAAAATTTTTTCCAAGACTTTGCATACTACAGATGTCAAACTAACAGGTCTGTAGTTGCCCGGGTCACTTTTTTTGTCTTTCTTAAAGATAGGAACTAATATTAGCAATTCTCCAGTCATACGGTACAACCCCTGAGTTTACAGATTCATTAAAAATTCTTGCTAATGGGCTTGCAATTTCATGTGCCAGTTCCTTTAATATTCTTGGATGGAGATTATCTGGGCCTCCCGATTTAGTCCCATTAAGCTGTTCGAGTTTGGCTTCTACCTCGGATTGGTAATATCTACCTCCATATCCTCATTCCCATCTGTCATCCTACCATTATCCCTAAGCTCCTCATTAGCCTCATTAAAGACTGAGGCAAAGTATTTTAGATATTGGGCCATGCCTAGATTATCCTTAACCTCCACTCCATCCTCAGTGTTTAGCGGTCCCACTTCTTCTTTCTTTGTTTTCTATTGGTTTTAATTCCCTTTGCAAGGTCCAACTCTACATCAGGCATCTCCACACCACTCACATCCTCACTGGGGCTGGAAGGCTCACTGTGAACATGTGTCTATGTATCTCATGAGAGCTCCTTCCTGCTTAGATAGAAAAGCTTCCTTTGCTTTCTTTTTTTCTGACTGCTGTCCCAGAGGAGCGTTTTCTTCTTTCACTCATGACTGCTGTTCTGTGCCAGCTATAGTGGCTCTCAACACTCGATTGAAGGGGACAAATAATCAGGCTGGTAGCAGGGCCTGAGTGAGGGAAGATATCAGCATCTTAAGGGCCTAACTGGCTCCTACTACTTCAGCTGATTGCCTGTTCTCCTCAAGTGGGTTCAGGGAAGCAGTAGGAAACAGGAAGCTCCCTGAGAAGCTGGTGTTAATCAGTCCAGGCTCCTCGGAGTGCTAGAGAGGTACAAAAGAGGCTCCTCCTCCTTTCTCTCCCTGCAGCTCCTGCTGCTTTCTGTTATTCCCTCTCGCCTTTCCTCCTGCCTGCCTGTTATGTCTCTTCTTGTGCCCTCCTTCCTCCAGCACAGCACTCCAGCATCTCTGTGCATTTAGAGCAGAGAGAATACATATGCACCAGCAGCAGACCCAATTGGTCCTAGTGGCACCCCCCCCCCCCAGTCTGGCACCTGAGGCGGCTGCCTCAGTTCTCCTCATGGTAAGGCCAGCCCTGTGAAGGGCTCTTGACTCTGGAGCTTGCTTCCCTCTACTCCAGAGGAGCCCGAGTCTGCAGATCTTCACAGCATGTTGCAAAGCCTGTGCATGCTTTCACTGAGGGGATGGGGAGAGAGTTCTCAGTCCTGGTGGGTTGGGAGAGCTTTACCATTGAAAGTGCCCCTTTTTTAAACCCTGTGTGTCCCTTATGCATAGAATGTTATATGTTTCATGCATCAAGAGCATGGATAGTTGCTTGTTTATAAATCAAAAAGGTCAATCAGGTTTTAAAGATGGAAACAAATGCACTGCTGAGATATGATAGCTGGAGGTATGCACTCATGTGAAGGATCGAAGACTAAGCCTACGGGGCTGTCCTGCACCACGGCTTCCAGAGGGGAATTGCAGACAAAATATCAAGCATATAGGTGTGGCTGACAGTGTTAAAAGCAGCAGAGAGGTGAAGGAAGATGAGGCTAGAGGACAGCAGAGAAAAGTCATGAGCATGGTGGATCACAAACCATGGAATGGCTAGTTGGTTGACGGCAGTGGGCAGTGTTAAAGCCGGGTGGTTAGAAAGTCCCAATTCAGATGGGGACAGATGAAAGAAGGGGCAATGTTTAGTGAAGATAAAGGCCAAATTATCAGTTGGTGGGAATGTCGACCTTGAATTGAAGGAGGCTGAACAGGAAGTGAGGTGGGAGGCCAACAAGCCAGACAGGTTGCCAACATGGAAGTTGAAGTCACCAAAATAAATATCAAATTGTATTAAGAGGGAGATGCAAATCAGAGGGGAAAGAGATTGGAGGGAGTCATAGTGAGAGTCCATAACAGCAACATGGAGTGGGAAAGGAGAATAGAGTCTAATGGGGCTCCAATGAGAACAAATGGGAAGAGATAAGAGGAGGAGTTGAAAGTGGCAGGAGGAGGAAAGGAAAAGCTTGACCCCCTCACTATGATTCATTTGGGGGATGATTCATGGTAACAAGGGTTTGAGAAGCAGAGATCATGGTGTGAAAGCACACACCATGACAGTGGGGGGATATAGGTTACTGTGTGTCCCAGGCAATGGAGAACGTGAGAGATGAAGGAGTCGTGGATAGTGACCATCTCTTCAGAGATGGAACAAATGTTCCAAAAAGAGAATGGGGGAGACTGCCAAGGGGCAGAGGTGGGGGTCTGCCAACAGAGGTGCCAGTGGAGCAGAGGTGGGGTCAGAGAAAGTACAGAAGGGGCAGGGAGGGAAGGAAGGTTACAGTTGGGTGGTGTAACTGGATTTGTTAAGTAGTACTGGAGTTATAGTTTAAATGTATCAGTCCAGGTATTTCCCTGCTACATGGGCAGACTTCACACCTCAGTAACCCCCAGATGCTAAATGTCCTCTAGAGTTGTGAGTATTCCCTCAGGCTACATGAAGTCACATCATTGTACTGATATATAAATATGCAGCGACTACAGTAATCTGAAGGGGGTTTCTGTGTTAACTTCCACTGCAGTTGTAATCCAATCCCAGTCCTACAGCCAGGCCACTTGCACGCTTTTTATTGGCATGGCATGGAGAACGATCCAATGACCATGCATGAAAAGCTCCATACTGCTAGTGTTTATATGCAACACTGCCATCTACAGAATGGGATCATTATACCAGATGGCAGGTACCTGTGCTATTAGGACAGGAGGATCTACCACTAGTACTGTGAAATCCCAAGGGTCCATGGTGTGCATTATAGTGGCAATTGGGAAGTCCTAGGTGGTCACAGATTTGTTTCAATATATTTTTATTAAGGAGTCCTTTTTTGTTTGTTTCAAATTAGGTATTCTGTATTTTATTTGGTATCTGATATTAACAACATAATGTAATTTATTTAATTGCCTGATAATTAAACCTTTGACTGACTAGATTCAGTTGACTCAATGAGCATTATTTCTATTTACCACCTTCACTGTCGCATTTAGCATCCATCTCATCCCCGTCCACCATTAGAGAGCCTTTTCCTCTGCAGCTTCTGCCTCTGGAACAGCATTTCTGCATCTCTCTGCTGTATCAATTCTCCATTTGATTTCAAGCCTCATTGCATCTTTCCTCACTTATCTGTGCCTCTTCACTTTTCAATAATTATCAAAGGGGAAGAACTCTGTAGAATACTTTAGGGATTCAATTTGTATGGAGGATGCTACTGTACTTACAGCATCAATTACAGAATTCAGATCCACGTTTCCCCACTGGTGTGTGGAGCTGGGGTTCCTGTCTCTAACTGTACCATATTTGAGAAGGCACTTTGCAGGCTGACTTGTTATCTCTTTCCTTGCAGCATGCCATTGATGCAGATAACGCAGGAGTCAGTCCCATAGGAAACTCTTCTAACAACAGCAGTCACTGGGACCTTGGAAGTGCCTTTTTCTTTGCTGGAACAGTCATCACAACCATAGGTATATTTATATTTTAAGGGAGATGGTGACATTGAGAAGTGGAGAACAAAATAAGTTTCATTAGATCTCAGAGACAGGCAAAGCAGCAGAACTGCACTTTTGGGGGTGCTTGACTGTATCATTATGTGGTGTATCTGACACTAAGCTGTGGGGTGCACTTCAGGAATTACTTATATAATGAGGCCAAGAAAGCAAGACTGAACCAGAAAGCAAGTAGTACAGAAATTTTCACAGTTCTGTAACCCTGTTACTACTAGTACAGGTGGCCGCCTACTTGGCCATGGCTATGCAAGCCAATTCTGTCTCTGAGGTCAAGCACAAGAGCCAGATACTTCACATGCAGCTGCAAGAAACCCTGCAGTGGTCACTAATGGAATAACTTTCCTACAAGGGTAATTTCTTCCTAACCACATCAATCAGTGGTTGTCGTAGGCCCTGAAGCATGAGGGTTTATATCCTTCATAAAATTTTCAAAATAGCTATTATAACCGGGGCTATACTTGGTGTCCATATAAATGTCTAATCCTTCTTAAAATCTAAGCTTTTGGCCTCAATGATACCTGGTGGCAATGAGTTCGTCAAGTTAATTATGCATTGTGGAAAAAATAACTTTTTTACCAGATTTTAAATTGTTGTTTTTAAATATCACTGAATGTCGTCTTGTTCCTGAATTATGTGAAAGGCTAAGTAGAAGCGCCAAATTTACCTTTCCTATGCCACTAATATTTGTATTAATCTGTCAGGTTCCCTCTTACTTGTATCCTCCTAAATAGCCCCAATCTTTTCAATCTATTTATGAATGAAATCTTTACCCCTCTAATGACTTTTGTCAGCTCTCTCTGTACTACTTCTTCTGAGGACACTCAATCGATGATCTTTGCCTTTACCAGTAGCTTATATTTCTCAGTGACTGAGGTGTTATTCATATGGATTCATTTTTATATGAAAAAATATTTGGGAACTTCACAAATAGCATATTACATTCCATAGCCCTGATTTAGAAAAGTATTTAAACATATATTTAGGCTCTGTTGACTTCAGTAGGATTTAAGTTCATGCTTAAAGTCAAACATGTACTAAAGTGATCTTCCTGAAGAGGGATACTTTCCTGAATCAGGCTCTGTCGATTGCATCAATTAGGGTCTTGGTTATGAAAATCAGCACTAGGATTTATCAGATAGAATGTTGAATCTAATCTGATTTTTTTTCTTTAAATAATTCATTTGTAGGTGAGTGCTAATTTTCGGAGTAGTCAAGCAACGAACCACTATAATGAAAGGGTTTTAATGGAGACCCCAAAATAATCTTAACTGTAATGGTGCGGGTGTTATAATTATAATTCTTGTTTCCTCTCTTTAATGGTAACCATGCTTCCCAAATAGAGACATAATGGACACTGAAGTCTTAGAGCACTATATAGAGGCTCATGGACAATTGGGGAAAAGGAGGTGTCTGCAAACTGCAGTGGCTGTAGGTGTTTCACTTGTTTGCACAGAGGCATTATTGTTCTTCCTCCCCTAGAGGGAATGCACTCACTGTCAGCCCTGGCTACACTTTTAGAAATGTCACAGCATGTTCTCCTCTGCACACCCAACGCTCCTGGCACCTTCCATGGGCTAAGGGGACAAGTCCTTCCCTATGCTTTCCTGGCACTCCTCTCTAGATAGTCCAATATTTCTGCCAGGACTAGCCTTCCACAGCCCCCTTGCACTCTGGCTGTAGTAAGATTGTGGAAACCTTTGGGCAAGGGGCTTCCTGCACTTTACAGCAGTTGATAAGAGTTGCTCCCTGTAGAAAACTGTATCCCCAAGGACTCCTACACTGACAATGAAAACCTTATGTCTATGCAAGAATCTCAGACACTTGGATGGAGTTCTGAGGTTTGGAACCAGAACTGAAGCCCAAACCAAACTTGCCCAAAGATGTTCAGACTGAACAGAGAACAGGTAATTATGTGTTAATTAGCGTTTGTGCTCTGAGGCAGCTCTGTGAGTTACCTTAACAATGGGCAACATGAAGACATATAGGAGTCTTTATTACCACGTTAACAATGCTATTTAAATGTAAATAATCTCCAGAGGGAATTCTCAAAGAGCTGCTTGTGAGAGCCCATTAAAAATCATGAAAAATAAAACTTAGGCTTTTTTATTATTAAATTGAAAAGAGTGAATAAAAGGAGTCCTTGAAGCCTCATGTTAGCACAGCAGCAAGGACTGGAAATGGCAATTCGTATAATCTGCAATAAAGAGCCTATGTAATTCAGAGCTGAAAACTGGGAATGAGAATATTCAGGTGAGTCATCCTCCCATCAGGACGCAATTGACAGAGTTCAAATGCTGCAGCAGCAGCATGGAAGAGATAGGCTAGGGCTCTAATCTAAAGGTTTCCTGTAGCTTATTGTGCAGCTGCCATGCTGAGTAAAAGTAGCCCAGTTACTCAAACAGCTTTAATTAGGAAGATGAGTTCAGAGAGAAATAGTAGTAACTGAGGGTTACATGTGAATAATGCTAGTTTCCAGTGGGCACCACTAAAAAGGCTGGACTGACTGACTTCTGTTCAACGGGCATAATGTGGTGGAGAGCATGTAAGGAACCTTCCTCTTCTTGCTCAAACCATCTGCAGACTGGGTGTGGCATATAGGCACCTGCACAAGAGGCCATGTCTGAATTTGAAGTTATGATGATGATTTTTCTCTCCAGGGTATGGGAACATCGCCCCAAGCACTGAAGGAGGCAAAATTTTCTGCATTTTGTATGCCATCTTTGGGATTCCACTCTTTGGCTTCTTGCTGGCTGGAATTGGAGATCAACTAGGAACCATCTTTGGGAAAAGTATCACAAGAGTGGAGAAAGTTTTCCGAGTAAGATCATGGTTAAAAGTCTTTGCTGGTGTGGCCTGACTTGTTTAATCTCAAATACTATTAACATTACAGAGGATCTTAGAAAGTTTTGCATGTTGGGCACAAATATCTTTAATTGCATAGCTTGTTTGTGTGATCTACGTTTCCTGCATTGAAAATTAAGACAAAGTGATACAGATTCTGTGGGACCAGGTATACAGAGTAACCCTCAGTTGCATCAGTACTGAAAACAGAGTTTTGGAAAGCCTGATTTCTGGGGTGAACTATATAGATACCTTTCAGCTACCTCTCTCCCTGAGTTCTATGTAGAGAATAACAAACATATGGGGCCAGATCCACAGTTGCTATAAATTAGCATAGCTCCACTGACTGTGATGGAGCCTGCTGAGGATCTGGTCCATAGTTCTCCCCTTCTCTGTGGCTTTTATCACATTTGGGTACTAATTATACATTTAATACCAATTTCTAATTATACAAAATGTTCTGAAGTTGAACGGACCAAGTGCAATGACCCCCAATTTACTGTCACTGGTGTGGTTCATTCTGTTGAATTACATCCTCCATGGAAGTATATCAAACACTTCACCTGGGAGTGGTATCACAGCACTGGCTAATGCTGCTTTGCTAACATGGTGGTTTCACTTCAAGGATTCCCCTTTTAGATGCAGGACTTCCAGGAATTATGTGAGTATATCGTAGTTCCTTGGTATGTGGCATAACTGGAGGTAAGTCCTGTCTGGGGGATGGGGTAGATGAGGGGTTGTTCAGGCAGACTATTTTAATAAGCCTCCATCTCTAAAACATTCCCACAGATACAAGGCAAAATACTTGTAGCTGATTTTGGAACTAAAGTAATTGAGCATTAGACTGGAGTATGAGTAATTTCTCAGATTAAACTACCTGTGAAGAGACCCAGTCCACACCTCAGGAATATCTTTTGGCCTTCATTTTAAAAAATGACTAGTGATTTTGGATGACTCAATTTTTACATGCCTGACTAGAGACAGCTTGAAAAGGCCTGATTTTCAGAAACTGCTAAGCATCCACTTTCTGCAAATCTGATCCCTTGAAGATGTCTCAAGTTGGGAACCCAAAAATCAAGGGACCCAAAATTGCTTGTCACTTTAGAAAATTTTGGCCCCCCTGGTCATATTTTCTATTCATTCCAATTTACTTCAAATCATTCTTGGGAGCATTCCAATGTGGTTCTTCCAGAGAAAGCTTACCAGTGGGTAAGATATGGATTTGGGAATCTAAAAAACTTGGCTTTATTCCCAGCTCTGCCATAGACTTGCAGGGCGACCTTGGACAGAATCCTTAAACTCTCAGCATCTCAGTTTCTCTCTCTGTAAATATGATGATAATTATATGTACCCATCTTTTAGAATTACTTTGAGATCTAAAGCTGAATGGAATTGCCACTCCTGCCTTTGGAGTATTATTCTCACACCCTACCACAGTACCTTTTTCCTTTTCTTGATTTGATGCCTTTGTTCTCTCTCTCTTCTCGTCCCCCTCCCCCAAACCATTCCCCCTGTTGGTATTTGCACCTTTCCAAAACCTTGCATTGCAGAGCTACACAGATTTAATCCTTATACTTTTTTCCTCAAATTCATCATTTCAACTGATTGATCATTTTTGTTGCTTTTGTTGTGATGTCCTTCAAATTTGTCTACACCTGTGTGGTGCTGAGGTGGGACAGCTGAGTACAGTATTCTAGGTGGAGTTCTAGAGTTCCCAAACATCCCAATAACATCTAAACAGACTAGTCTGAGGAGTCACCTGACAGCAAAACTGACATTTCATGTTACCAGGCATTTTGAAGCTGTAGCCAAAAGGGTGGGCAGAATAGAGATGAGGGAGAATTTAGCTCAGCCTAGAAACTCTTAAGATATTTCCCCCCTCCTTAATGGCAAAGTAACTGTAGATCTCACACGCTGTAAGTTAAGCATTTATTCCTCCCAGTACACCCCTTGAATAGATGGGCGGTGCGCTGCAGAGCTCTGTTGGTGATGTGATCCTCTCACCACTGTAGTTGTTACTGCAGTCTAGGGCTACAGTAGCCCTCTGCTCCTTCTGTTTACTATCCTCTGCAAAGAGAGGATGATGGAGCTGTGTATTCATGGATGCATTGGCTCCGCCCCTCAATACTCCCTCAGCATCCCCCAGGTATCAGTGTGCTAGGATCCCCCCCTACAATTGTGCTCCAATGTGTGTGAGTGTGCATGGTTTCCCTGAATCCTGCTTCCATTCCCTGTGCGGTGGAACTGCACTGGTTCACCTGGATGTGAGTTGTTTTGTGGCTGTGTAGAGAGCTGGGGAGGGTGACAAGATTTACCTGCAGTGCAGAGTTCTTATTCAATTCCTTCTCTTAGCACTCCTGTTGCTCATTGCAGCATTACCGTGAACAGCCATCCCACAACATGTGGCAGGCAGTTCACCTCTGACATCCCAGAGCATATCTGGAAAGGTAAAAGGAGGCTTCCTTTCCGAGGAGTCACACTAGCACAGTTCGGTTGTCTGACAAGACCTGGGCATCCTCACAAAATCTCATTTAGATCTCAGCATAGATTAGAACCTGAGAACACCACATTTCCCTCACACACTAAAGAGCCCATGTGCACTGCACTCAGTCATTTCCAGAACAGTTCACACTACAGGCTGGGGGTGGAGGGAAGAAGAGAGCTGCTCTTATGGAATGTGCATAATGCCCACGTTATTGACAGAGTGTTTCGGCAGAGGAGTTGGATGCATGCCACTCTTCAGCTGGTATTTCAAGAGCAATTTTGGCACTACTTCTGAACGTATAAATAGCAACCAAAACAGCCATTCATTTGCTTGCAATGTATAAACTTGTTGATTCCTCTTTAAGGGTCTTAATTATCCTTTAACAGCACATTCAGTTCGGGTTTGACAGGGAAGTCGCTGAAGGTTTAAAAAAAAAAAGGCTAAATTTTCCTCTGCTGTGTGGGTGCACTAGTGAGCAGGGGGCTATAGGGAGTCTCTTCTCCCCTATACAGGCAGCAGGGCAGGATCTCTCCTTAGTGCTGGAGAGCACTAGGTGGTGGAACCTGGCTGCTGGGCCATTCTCTGCAGAACTCAGGAGGTGTGGTCTGCTGGAAAAGGGCTGTGTCCAGGCCTACCACCCAACAGGTGTGTATGCTGTGGTCACTAGCATTCTTGCGCAGGGTCACCTGCTGCTTCAAACCAGTATTAAAATGCACCCTGTGTAATCACCCCCCAGGCACATCTGAGGGAATTCCTGGATAAATACAATTTCTAGTAATGAAGGTAATAACAATAATCACTTTTATCTGACAGTGCTTTCTAGGCACTTCAGAAACTAACTTTGAGTCAAGGTGACCATAATCTTAATAACAACACTCCTACATTCTGTGCACAGCCCAAGGTTGCTTCTGCAATACACAGTGATTTAAGAATCCTTAGCATTAAAAACAAACCATTTTCTTTCAGTTTGTTCCTATATACACACAGACTATGAGCTACTAAAAGTAGAAGGAAAATTATTCCACAGTTTGCCTTCTACAGAATGTACCCTTCGCCATTATCATAAGGTTAATTAGGGCAAACTAAATAGTTATCAAATTCAGATCTTTAAAGACAGTTTAGAATCCAAGTTGAAAGAAGATCCGATGAGTATATTGGAGTAAACCTACTCTTAGTCTTAAAATTCAGTAAAAGAACATTAACGTCCATGAGCTGTGTTATGCCTCTAAGGCAGTGGTTTCTCACTTTTTTTCCTTTTTCATTTGCGGACTTCTAAAAAATTTTGAATGGAGATATGGACCCCTTTGGAAATCTATTGTCTGTGTAGTTGAATTCTGTTCAGTCAGTTTTCAGTCTAAGTCTTTCACGGACCCTTTAGACATAGTCTGCGGACCCCCAGGCAACTACAGTGTCGCAGACCACGGGTGAGTGGCATAGCACTGCATTAGGAGTGGTGCAGAGGTCCACTACCCCAGATTGAACTCTGGGACGTATTATGTGTAGGCAAACTGTTCCTGATTGACATGGAGGGACTTAACAGATCTAATACATCTGTTATCTGTTCTTCAAGGTTTCAACTTTGATATGCCCTTTTGATCTTTCCTTATGAAGTCTGACATAGATACATGAGGTCTGGCCTCAAAGTTCTTTGAAAGTAACATTCACTATTATTCTCTAAACAATAGTAGGTTTAACACAGAGTTGCTCAAACATCTTGTCTGCACTTGCATTGAACTTTGGAATAACCCCATGAAAAGTACCTCCTAGTAAACAAATAAGAAAAAATCATACTAAAAACCTGATGAACACCTTTCTTCTACTGTTTCCTAAACAGATAGCATTTACTTCACTTTCTGTGAACTTGTTTCTTCTTTGTCTTCATGGATACATCAGATCTGTTCTCCTTGCTCCACTCTCCCTACCCCCACTGCCTCAGCTTCCCTGTCAGTAGAGATTTGTGGCCACTTTGATCTCATTTTCTATAGTATAACTCTTTAGTACTCTTGAGAGTAGAAAATGAGGTAAAAGTGATTGCTGGAGGAGACACTACTACAGGAAGGCAGCTATTTCAGGGGTGAAGCGGTTTAAAACCACTGTTATTTCCCTCCTTTTAGTACCTCCCCTCTTCCCTCCACATTTGCCTTTTTATCTGTCCACTTGCTCCTTTTCATTCTCTCATTTGTTTCCTTCTCTTCCTGTTCTCTCCGTAACTCCCACTTTAAACTTGCAATATTATTTGAGAATCAGATCCCAGTGGAGTTCTTAAGCAAAGATTCATTTCAAATGAGACCCACAACTTCCTCAGCACTGAGTATTGTAGCCAGGCTGGGGGGAAGTGGTGGTTACCTTTGAAGTGTCCTGGTTGTCTCTTCTCTAGTAGTGTAATGTCAGGATCCAGAGACCCTGCTTGTTTCCCAGCAAGCAGGAATTACTCACTGCTTGGACTTCTGTCAGATCCAAACTTGCATCCATTTTCTTTCTCTTTGAGGAGC